AACACTTATTCCTCCTCCTCCAATCGAACTCGACGGAGAACCAGAATACGAGCTCGACGAAATAGTCGATTCCCGCTTCTTCCACGGTCACCTCCAATACCGAGCCAAGTGGACAGGATATTCTCCTGAACACGATAAAACTTGGTACTTCGCACACAACTTCGAAACCGCACAAGATGCTATCATAACCTTCCACCAGCGATACCCAGGCAAGCCCGGCCCAAGTGACGATCACGTTCAACCAAGACAAAGGAGAGGGAAAGACTCCCACACCGTTGCAGCAACACGAGGGCTGTGGCGATAGCCCCCGCCAAACCACACCCACCAGCCCCAAATACTCATTCATGGGGCCAACCGATGAACAACTCAAGGAAAGGGAAAGACAAGCACAGCATAACACCATGTCATGGACGGTATGCTACGATGACGGTTGCCAAACACACTTTGGCGACAAGGAAGGCTCGGGATAGTTCCCGAGGGAATGTCGAAAGCGTGGCCCACGCCCAGACCACGTCCTGAGGCATTGGCAACAATGCTTCAGAAATGGGTGCAGGATGCACAGGGCACAAAAAATATCTGCAGGATTCTACCTGCAGAAGGATGGAAGCCGAAAAGAGTTGGAAGGAGAAGATGCCAGAAAGGCATGGGCCGCGAGGACACGGTCCAAGGAGGGAGAGGCCCAAAATTCCTCCGCAGACACGGAACCAGATGTCAGGAGCCTACACAGGCAGATCCGGGGACTGCGAGAACAACTGGGCCAAGCCGAGGCCACAATTTCGGCAAACGACAAAACGATCGCGGAGCTGAGACAGCTGAACGACAATCAGCGGCACACGATCGAGATGGCGAATCTGACTCTGGAATCAGTAAGGGTCAGATGGAGGATGGCAGACGAAAAGTTCCACAAGCTGAGAAGGACTATGCGCTCGGCAGGACGGGAACTATTGAAACTGGGACAAAAGGCCTGATGGGACTCAGGCTTAGGAGGAGGAGAGCTAATGTCACAAACGTGGCTTAGCGAAGAAAGGGTTTTCACGTGACACATGGTTATGAGTCACAGGTATGTTATTGTTTCACGCATATGACCTATTCGGGTTATATGATTAGTTATGTGTAGGATTTGTGATGCTTTCGCACATGGCTCAAGTATGAGTCATGGAACATGCGCCTGACGAGTATGCCTTACGAGTGTGTCTTACGGGTAAGCCTTGCACATATGATTTATGTTTCGCACATGACCTCATTATGATGTCATGGGTTTCGTGCATATGACTCAGTCGAGTCATATGGCTTGTTTATTGCATTATGATTGGTTTATGAGTTTCGCACATGACCTCGCTATGAGGTCATGGGTTTTGAGCATGTGATTACTTTGGTCATATGACTAGTTTGTTATGATTTAGTTTCATACATGTGACCACTTTAGGTCACATGACTAAAGGCGGGAAGAACACTATATAAGGAGGCCGATGCGGCCGAGGAAGATAGGTTCTTCACGCTTTGATCTAAGTACTTTCCCTACTCATTACTTTAACGAATATAAAACACTCTTACGATCTTTACCTTTCTTGCAATGTTATCGTTACGCCAAGGAAGGAGCTTTACGAAGAAGAGTTAGAGAAAGCTTACGATAGGCGTTCCCGGTAGACGACAAGGGTCTTGTACTATCGGTAACGTAGGCAGAGGCCTAGAGCTAGCGTAAGACAAGGAGAAGAAGAAAGACAGGAAGAGAAGTATCGTTCCCCGTCGCCAAGCACTAACTATCCAAAGAGGGATCGTTACATATAACCCGAATAGGTCATATGCGTGAAATAATAACATACCTGTGACTCATAACCATGTGTCACGTGAAAACCCTTTTCTCGCTAAGCCACGTTCGTGACAAGAGAGTTCATTTAGATAAGGATCTAGCTCAAGAGAGGTTAGAATGAATATTAGCTCATAGGCATTAGACAAAGGAGATGTGGAGAAGGAAGGCAATGTGGGGAGATGAGGTAGCTGTGGAAAGAGGAAGAGGAAAGAAGAGAAAATAGATTTTCAGATACCCATATGAGAAATAGAATAAGGATTGTGTTGAACCTAAGACTAGGAGAGGAGAGAGAGGGATTAGCCAGATAATAACTAGTTGTTTTTATAGTCAAACTCATGGTCTTTTTTTGCCTGTTTTTTCTTATCCTTCTTCTGCGAGGGGTGGAGTTACTAGAAAGTTAATTATTAATGTTTATGATCATTATGACTTTCTAGGGATATGGGAGAATATCAGAGAAAAGGCTGGAAAAGAAGAGGTATTTTTTATCATTGATAATACTAAGACTCACTTGCCTTTTAGGAGATGGCTCAGAGGATAGGAAATTAAACTGATGGAAATTTCTGCCTATTTACCAGATCTCAATTCAATTGAAAATATTTGGTCTCTGATTAAAGGTAAGATTCACAAGCACTACCCTGAGCTATATCTGATGAAAGTTGATGTTAATATGGTCAAGAAGGCAATAGTAGAGGCCATTACTCATTGTTGGAAACTTCTTGACCTAAAAGTTTTTGATACTTTAGCTGAATCAATACTGGATAGAATAGAGGCAATTATTAAGGCTGATAGATAGTATACCAAATATTAATTTCTACTATGTATTTACATCTTTTAATTTTCTTTTTTAGTTTTCATAATAGTGGATTGGTGGATGAGTATGGTTGTCATTGCCTAAGATTTTTTTCTGTTGAATCAAGGTTAATTTTGTCCATGCATAATACTTTATCTTACTCTTAGTAGTCATAAATAAAACAAGTATATTTTAAGCCTTTCTAGATAATCTCCGTCGACAGAAACAAATCTTAGTTGGCCTAGACAACTCTGAGTCTATACAGGCTGTTTCCATCTAATAGTATCACCCAAGCAAGTATTGGTAACGTAAGCAAAAGGGCCTAATAACGATCAAAAGAAGAAGGTATATATATATATATTTTAAGAAAAGATATCATTGCCCGTCACTATATATTAATAAAAACTTAGAAATATTACAATCCAGTAGAATAACTTTCTGCAAATTAGTAGGAAGATATCCAGAGGATATTTGTCAGTTGGATCAGAGGTTATAGAGGTGTAAAGTTGGTGACCTAGGAAGGTTGCATCTACGACTACTGCTGCAGACATGACTCCTAGATGAAACTAATCATTTTATCAATAGAGGAGACAATTGGAGCCAATATAGTTCAACTTGAGAACTAGGTAATAAGTCTAATAAACTTCAAAAATCAGATAATTACTATTGGAAACAATACAGTTCCCAATTGATAAAATAGTAATTACTAAAAAGAGTATGATGGTTTTCAGGACCTCCTTGTATTTGCACTTCAAGAAAATACCTAACATTGTGAGTTATAGTTAAAGAGGTACATAATTTATATAAGAGATAAATGTAGTCTGAGAACACTGAGACATGGAATATAAATATTGAAATGCCTCCCTAGCTTCTAAAAATCATCAAGTAATAGAGAAGAGACCTTAACAATATAATATTATTTATATGAATTCGATCACTTTACCTTCCCCCCACCTTACTCTTAGTAGTCATAAACAAAACAATTAACCTATTTGAGCCTTCCTAGACAAACCTCCATCTATGAAAATGAATCTCGATTGGCCTAGACAATTTCAAGTCTATAAGGATTATTTCTGCCTAATATCATTTTACTTTCTTACATTAGACTTGAAGCAGGCTGCCTGTTTATTATATTGTAAGTTACTTTTATTGAGATTCCAAATATTCTTTAAAGCAAAATACTTTAACTTTTCCTAAATTCCCTCTTTTATTCTTTTCACTACTGCTAAATTGACACTCAGGCTTTCAGACTTATTATACCTCTTCTGTCTTCTAATCATATGACACTCCTTAAACCTTCTTGACTATTTACCAGAAATGGTAAAATGAGTATGGTCTTTCTCATAGCATATTTCTATTAGCTTCTCTTGAATAAGAAGAAATTCAGCTCAATAAACACCACCAGCAGCTAGTACTTCCTCCTCCCCCATAGTACCAACCTACTTCACCAGCAAGAACTTAAAAATTAAGTACTGCACACCCCTCACCTTCGCTTTCATGCTTCTAGTCCTATTACATTTAACTAACTAGTAGATTAGTATAATTCTATCTTACTAGTAGATAGGACTTCTTTATTTTTATTATTTCGAGTTGACTTTTCCTTTTAAACACAATTTTTCCAACTCCTCAAGTATTCATATAGGCTTAACCATACCAATGGACATCTATCCTCCCTCTTTAGACATTCTGGCAATACAGTATACCCCAGGCTTACCAATTTCATATCAGGATAACAGGATCGTAGAAGGCATAACTCATATTTCTGAGTTTGAGTTAACCCTTTTCAGCCAGATGCACTAGGAGCCATTGCATGCCAGTTGATCGTTGATAGTATGAGAGGCAATCTGCTATCCTTCTACTACTTTCATTTACCCTACTCACAGCTTAAAATTCTTCACTATTGCTGACGAATTATTCTTGATCTCCTGTGGATCACTACACTGAACAATCCGCTATTACGAATAAAAATGGCCTGATACTTGGCATTCATTATAGCGGGGCGACTATATAAAAAAGTCTGGGGACGGGATCGTTTGGGATGTCATCTAGGGGAAAGTGAGGGTTGTATCATTATGATCACTGGAGTCGGTGCCTGCAATACTATCTAAAGAGTTGCCAATCATCGTCTATGTTTCGTTTATCATGTAATCAGCAAGCCATAGACTTTCACCACTCCTACAAGTACATTCCTCCACTGCTGAGATTGGAATAGGGTGCGTTGCAGGCTGCGATACACCCGTTTGCCGGGTGATCTGCCATGACCAGCTCGTAGATTCTTAGGTCTTCCTAATCACATGATTTCAGCCTGCTCATCAGATCTTGGCAACCCACCAAACAAGCCCAAGAGGGAAGAACTGTCTTCACTTGTCATCATACACGCAAACATTCTCTACAACCTCAATGTCCCTCCACCTTTATAAGCCACTAGGTGACAACGACCACGCCATCCGCCTAGACGCTGCGAAGACACTAACCTCGGAACTCCTACAACTGCTCTCGAGTGAGCATTCGGAAAAGTCCAAATCTTCCCTGGATTATGCCCTCGGCAGATTAACGAAGGGCCTAGCTAGTGGGCGGGAGTCGGCAAGGCCGGGGTTTGCGGTTGTGCTTACGGAGGTTGGTGGTATTCCTCCCATATCTTTTTTGGAATTGCGCAGCTGGGGGGATTTTCTCCTTGTTTTACTGACGGGAGGATATGTTTGTGGGAGGTATTCAGTTTCTAGGGCACATTTTAGAAACCGGGAATGCCGCAAAGTGGGGGTTTGAATTGGCAGGGGTGATTAAGCTTGTTGCTGCCAACACCCAACCGCCGGGGCATACCACAGGTCCGGAAGAGAGGGATTACCACCTCGGGAGGTTGTTCGGATTGAAGGCTCTTGTGCAGTCTGGTGTTCTCTTCCGTGGAGTGGAGAGGGAGGGGTATGCGGACGTGCTGAATCTCTTATTTGAGTTGTCTTTGCAGAAGCCGTGGCTGAGGGAGTCTTGTGCGTCGGTTGTGTGCTCGGCGGTATCTGGCTGGTCGGGCGATGCGAAGCAGTGGGCTGCAAAGGTTACCTATGATGCTTTGGCGGAGTCTGAGCTGGCGAAGACGAGTGACGGAACAGCTGTATGGTTGACTCTCCAGGCGTACTGCCCGAACATCCTCCCACCGAAGAATCTCTGGGTGAAGGAGTGCCCGCTGGCGAAACCGAATTTGGTCACATTAGCAAAGGTCCTGAAAGAGGCTGGGTCCAAGGATGAAGAGGGAAGGAATCTACAACAGAAGGGCTCTTGGAACCCTAAACTTAATTTCGTTTGGGATTTAGTGCTTGAAGCGTATATTGGCGAGAGTAAAGAGTGGGTGGGTTTTCGAGAACGAGAAACCTCTGTAATGCCTATGTGGGAGGAGTTCTGGAAAGTTGCTGTAGATGGTAGGTTTTTCACACGTTATCACTTGCTCGGTTAATATTCGAAGTTACTTGTACCACGCGGACAAAACCACCAGCGCCTGTCAAGTGAATCCCCTCCCAGGGGCCATCCCATAGAAACAGTGGCATGTGGGGGTTACTGACGTAGTGGAAGATTGAAACGGCTGCCAACTCCACCCTGAACCTTCCCTTGTGAAGGATTCGGGACTAATGATTGGCACACAAGTAACAATACCGTTAAAAAGGGAAAAATTGCTAACAAGATATTTTTACTTAGAAAGCCTATTCTCCGCCTCCTCTTCCAACCACCGAAAGTTCTGGGGGTTCCTCATATTCGGGAAGGCACTTAATCGGATTTTTGCCTTCAGTGATGGTGGATCATATCTCGCGCCAATGTTCTCCAAGAACTTTATGCGATGTTTGATAAATCAGCTATCGGATCCAGAACGATACTTGCATAAGGCTGCACAGAAGTGTATTAGAACACTGCTACAAAAGGCTGAATCAACGCCGTGGACGGCTCCCGTGATCTTTGTGCAGTTGGTCTCAAACAACGGCACGCCCAACTTTGACTCGCTGACGAAGACGAAGTACGTCGATAAGATTATGATACTGGCAGACGAAGACGGGCTCGACGCAATTATTAGAGGGTTTAGGAAGATCTTACTGGATCCTCTTCAGCCAAAATGGAACAGTGACTCGGGTGAAGAGAGCCGGCAGCAGAAGACAAAAACCGCTGAAGTTCGACGACAGTGGGCGGCGGACCAGATACTCACGCTCATTCGTAATGGGAAATCTGTAAAAGCGGAATCGTGGATTGGGAATGCCGTATCTCTACTCGCAGGCTTTGGCTTCCTTGAGACGCCCGTTCGCGGGGCCGAACTGGGAATACCAGTATCACCCACCAGCCAGTTAATGTTCAGATCCAGACTCATGTCCTGCCTATCCCACCTACTCAGCATCAAGGATGACATCTCCGGCAACGAGACATGGCCGTACCGTGCCGTCAAGAAAGTCCTCAATAACAAAGAGACACTAACAATCGAGCTCGACGACACCATCGAAACAGCTATAAAGAGCGCCCAATCAACGCTCAAGAAAATAAACAAAAAGGTAAAATCCCCCCCCATCCAATGTAATCACTTCCATAAGTAATCACTGACGGTCACTCGCAGCGCACCTCAGCCCGAAAATCCGACAAGACCAAGAGAGCCACCCAACTGGAGTCTTTCGAACTCCTCTACTCCCTCGTCATCCTACAAATCCTGAGCGGTGAACCAGACGCGCTGGAGGTTCTTGACGAGCTAAGCCTTTGCTACGAGAGGGTTATCAAGAAGCGGAAACATGCGACGGAGGATGAAGTCGAAGTTAGTGAAGTTTTGATGGAGATCTTGCTAAGCTTCTTGTCGAAGCCGAGCGTCCTACTGCGGAAATTGGCACAGCAAGTGTTCACGGCATTTGTGGATAGTGTTACCGATGCTGGCTTGGAACTATTGACGAATGTACTGGAGACGAAGGAGAGTCTGAGTGGGCAGCAGGAGCTCTTCGGTGGAGTCGATGAAGATGAAGACGGCGAAGTCATGGACGATGGAACCGACGACGCCGAGGAAGTAAATTTCTCTACGGAAGACAAAGACGAACTAGACTCGGATGTCGAAATAATATCCGCCTCCTCCTCCCAAGAAGACGAAGCGGCCACCGGCACCGACGACGACGAAGCCACGAAGCTCGAGACCGCCCTAACCCACGCACTAGCCCCACATGCGCCAAAAGTCGACTCAGACTCCGACATGTCCGATGGTGCAATGCTAGCCCTAGACGAAACGCTTTCCAAAATATTCCGCCAGCGCACCAAACCTCTCCCCGCCTCTAAAAAACGATCCGCAGCGGCCGCGAAACAAAACATTACAAATTTCAAAGTCCGAGTATTGGATTTACTCGAGATTTTCGCTAAGGCTGATAAAGAGCAGAGGGGTGAGGTAAGGCATGATCCGGGGGTGCTGTTGTTGCCGTTGCTAGCGTGTATTAGAAAGACTAGTGATCGGGTGGTTGCCGAGAGGTGTTTTGGGGTTTTGAAGATCTGTCTGAGGAATCCACCTCGATTTCACCCCCCCTCCTCCCTTGGCGGGGAGGGGAGGTTGTGGGCCCTGTTGAAAGAGGTGCACGAACTGGCCGAGTTGGGCTCTGGCTCGGCCGGGGGGGATATGTACGCGAAGGCTTGTTCCACCGCTTCATTGGTTTTGGGGAAGATATTGGTTGGTGGCGGGAGTGAGGTAGCACAAGAGCGAGAGTTTGAAGAGAGGGTCAGGGGGATTGTTGGGGTTTACGCGGAGACTTTGACCAAGTGGGTGGTTGAGGGTGGTGGCGCGGGAGTGCAGAGGGCTTTTTTTGTGGAGTTTGTGGATTGGGTTGCAGGGGTGAGGGGTGGGAAGAGTGGGAGGGGAGCTATTGGGAAGGGGAAGGGGAAGGGGAAGGGGAAGAGGGGGAAGGGGAAGAAGGGTGTATGATGTGAACTGTATGTTGGATCTTTGGCCCTGGAATTAGTGTTGATGTAAACCTTGCTGGGCTGGAGTGATTGTTGTTTGAGGATATCAAAAAGTTTTGACATTGTATCAATAATAACAATAATATTATGGTATTATATTTATTAGAGTGGTTGAATCACTCAGCCCTACAAGCACAGGTATCACTTAAACTCATAATTGGCCATTAGTGAGCACCCCTCATAAAGGTGCGATTCGTGAGCAATGGGGGGAGGGAGGGGAAGAAGCAATATCTCCAGTCCACCTCAACGATCCGCCTGCTTCCCACCCGTGAAAAACTTCTACAAACCCGTTAGCACTCACCCACCCAACCCAACGCACAAAGGGAGGGCTCATGCCTTCTGCTCTGCACACTTCTCGCTCTTACACATTGGGCACCTCAGCGCCATCTGAGTACTTGTCCTGCCCTGGCTCTCCAAGTGCGTCTTTGCAATATCTGCCAGCGCCTCGATGAACAATGGGTCCCCATTGAGTGATTCGGCGCGCTTGATGCCTGGTTGCTTGCTCTCGGCGATGATTTCCAGGTCTAATTCGTGGAGGGTTTCAATGTGGTCGGCTGGTATCAGGTGTTAGCGATATTCCATGAAGGGAAGGTGCATGTGTAAAAAAGGGGGGCAAACAAGTGAAAGCAATTGGTATAAGAAGAAGCTTTGTCTGGCCCTTTTTCACGTATTCTTCTACAGTGTTGCTTGTTTGCGCACCGAGCCAGGGTGACGGCCCGACCTGGGATTGCCAGACGAGTCTGTAGGGGTTTTTGAAGTTTAGGTGTTGCATAACGGCGTAAACTGTTGCTGCGACTTCGGCCGGGTATGGGTCTCCTATTGCAATCATCAGCACCCCACCTCCCCCCATCCTATTGTGGGGGAGGACAAACCCCGATTAACAACAGACATCGGCAAACTATGCGCCGAAAACAACAACACAACCTGTTCCCTGTCCTCCTCCGTATACGTCTTCAGACTCTCCTCGATATGCCTAGCAACCACTCCCACGAAACCTTTATGCGTCGGCCACCTGTCGATAACGCTCCATTCAATCTGCCCCTCCGCGTCAAACTTCTTACTCAGCCTCCAGAGCTCATTCAGGCTGCTCCCCGTAGTGGAGCACGAGTACTGCGGGTACTGTGTGAACGCCACTGCGCGGCTGACGCCATCAGCCTTCATCCGCACGAATGTATCCTCAGTTAATGGCGCAGCGTAGCGGAAGGCGACGTAGGGCTTGTGTGGGGCTGTTGAGGGGTGGATTTTGTCGAGGAGCTTGCAGGTTTCGGAAGCTTGGAGTTCGGACCAGCGACGGATCGGAGAACCACCGCCGATCACGCTGTATTGGGCCTCGATCTTGGGAGTCCGGCGGCGGGCGATTAAGGGCCCGATGTATTTTTGGAGGGGGCCAAGGGGGATGAGGTCGCCGTCGGCCTATTTGTTATTGTTAAGTATGATGGTGATTATGGTGGGAGGTGAGAGGGAGTAGGTACAAAAAGTCTTGACAGAAAATCATGAACTTCAGCAACAGCGCTCGGACCGCCCATATTCAACAGGACAATTGCTGTCCCCTTTCCATCCTTTGTTCCCCCTAGTGAAGACCGGGCCGGTGGGGGAACGGTAGCCAAACTTCTGGCGGCAGTAACCGAAGCTGGAAGACGTTGGCTAAAGAAGGATCTTGGAAAGGCTGCAGTCGTAGTTGCTCGGGAAAGCTGTTGAAGGGGTATTCGACTAGCCATTGAGTTGTGATAGTGGTGTTTTCAAGTTTCTTCGAGCGAAAGAACCCTCTCAAGTCTGCTGTAAAAGTGGGGAAGAGGCAAATAGGGTAGATGGCGAAGTTGGAAAGGTTACGATTGGGTCAATGGCATTGGAGGGGCGGAATCAGGAATCTTGAACCTTTGAGATCGATATTTGTTTTCTTGGCGATTTCACGGGATTGTCCTGATGTGCCGGGATCTGCGTCATCCGAGGGTCCCGGTTGGATCTTGTTGCGGTTGGTTGGATGATCTACTGACGGTCAGTGTGGGTTTAGCCAGTTGAAAAGTGTGGAGTCTGGTCAGTGCTGTAAATTAGCTTTTAGAGGTCTACCGGCACAGTTTAGAGGAATTGAGATATGTAAAAATCCTTATAATATGATACCACCATTCACAGTCAAAATCAATTATTCGCTGGGTTCGAGTAATCGCTGTCCCTCGTACCCATAGGTACGAGTATGATAACCATGTCGACTGTCGCGTGTGAGCAGCCCTGACCAGGAGCCCCATCAAACCGGCCATCACCACCAATTGAATTGAAAGGAATACCCAAAACCCCCCGTGCTAGTACAAGACCAATTTTTCCTCTTTACCCCTTACCCATCGTTAACCCTTATCTCTTTCGAGCAATAAAAATTGACTCTTGATCTTCGGAAAATAGTTCATCTCTCTCTCGCGGGGGGTTGAGAGTGCCTCCTACATCCGCAACACACCCCAACCCCTGCAACAACGCCAAGACAGGCGGTATCGCCTGAAACGTCTCACCAGACATCACCTCGAAAAAAAAAATCCTGCCTGTTTATAAAGAAAAGAAGGCATCGACCCACTCCAACTCAACCTCACAGGCCCAATTGCCAACCTTTCCTTTCTCACTCCACCGCCGCGATCACTACCTTTCACCTTGTCTTCGAAATAAGAGATCAACCCAACCTAGCACTCATCAAGATGCCACCCGACCGCTCCGCAACTGGGAAGATAGTGTTTGTTGGCAACATTCCATATGGTATCCCCGTTGTCCACCACCTCCTCCCCATCCATCCGTAAACTGACAAGAAACCAGGCCTAACAGAAGAACAAATCACCGAAATATTCTCCTCAGTCGGCCGTGTCCTCTCCTTCCGTTTGGTCTACGACCGCGAGACCGGTCGTCCCAAGGGTTTCGGTTTCGCTGAATACAGCGACCAGGAGACTGCCGCGAGCGCTGTCCGCAACCTGGACAATTACGAGATCATGGGGCGGAAACTGCGCGTGGACTTCTCGCACGAGGGGAGCGCGACGGAGGGGATGGGAATGGATGACATAATGAGTAGCGTTGGGGGCGTCGCGGGGCCAATCACCTCTACACCCATCATCAGCGCTCCCAACACCGTCAACACTACTACTACTGCCTCCACCACCTCCACCTCTGGCGCCGGAGCGCAAGCAAGCGGCTCCGGAGTCCTCCCCGCCTTACCCCTAGGTGCAGACCTCCCAGCAGGCCTCAACGCGCCAGACGCAATATCCAGAACCCTGTCGGCCCTCCAGCCCCCACAACTCCTGGACATCCTGGGCCAGATGAAGGCCCTGGTGACCGCGGACCCCCTAAAAGCAACCGAGCTCCTCCGCCAGGCGCCACAACTTTCCTACGCCATTTTTCAAGCCCTTCTGTTAATGAACTTGGTAGACACCAGCGTGCTAACGCAAGTAATCGAAAATGCTGCTGCACCTTCTCAACCCCTCCCCGCTTCCGCCTCTACAACCTCCTCCGCCGTTACTGGTATCGTCCCGCCACCCCCGCCGCCGCCACCTTCACAGCAACAGCAACAAGCGGCGGCAGCGGCGTACGCATCACAGTATGTCCCACCACCGGCCGTGCCCGCGGCACCTACCCCACCCCAACAGCAACAATCGCCATACACCCCTGCGCCTGCACAAGCCGCCATCGTCGCGGACCCCCAGCGAGCAGCGCTGATACAGCAGGTATTAAGCCTAACGCCCGAGCAGATAGGGGCTTTGCCGGCAGATCAGCAGAGCCAGATCATGCTGTTGAAGCATCAATTGGCGGCCGGCGGTGGGTTTTAAGCCAGTAATAGAAGGCTTACCTACCTAACCCATATATATATGGCTGGTGAACCCAATTTGGCTTCTTCTGACTCTTTCGTGTTATTATCATACGTGTAAGCTTGGTGTTACAGTAGTTGGGTTTTTTTTTCCTCTGTGTCATGTGTTTGTCCCTCGAAGCCAGTTGTGGGAACTAATGTACTGAGGGATGGAAGTTTTCTCGCTTGCTTCACTTTTCTACCTTTCAATTGGTGTTTTTCTCTTTCTCCTTCTCTTTCTCCCCTTTCCTTTCCTCTCTCTCCTCTCCCGTTTGCCAAGGCATGTAGAGTGCCCCGCTCCGCCCCGTCGTCACATTTCATTGTTGAACGGAACATATATTAAAAAGTATTAAAAGCGAGTAACTTGCGTTTGCATTTTACCTGTATTTCTAGTAGGGGACGCCCGATAGCGGGGGAAAGTATCAATCTGCTAAGACTCATGCTTTTTACTTTCCAGCTTGTTCAATTGATAAACGATACTCGTTGGCTTTATTCTTATTACGCTGTTGTGAGTTACGCTACCCGTACACTGCTCAAAGACTACACTATCACAAGTTTATCCTACCCTGTCATGTGCCATTAGACGCGTGATACCAGCCTCTTCCAACGCCCCATAGAAGATCCAATGAGCAAACACCAAACGCCCGGTCGAATCCCTTAACCCCAGCTTCCAATTGCCGCTAGCAATTATGGTTTTAACAAAGGCCTAATATGTGCTTTCAGCTTCCTCCAATTTTCAAACCATCATCCTTGGACTGGTTGATCCGGTGCATCTAGGTAAGCTGCCTAATAGTTAACTAATGTTAGTATAGTTGGGAGGTGCTTGTGTTGAGTATACTTACCTCTCCAGTCGGGTCATCCCCGAGGGCAGATATTAATACCCTTGTAGGCAGATGGCTCTGTATACCTGGCCCCAGCGCTGCTCGTCTAATGTGATCTTGTTGTGTCGGTGTTTCCTCACCACTCCCACCTCGGCCCTTCTTCGAGGTGGCAGAATGGTCACGGGATGTCACTCGGGAATCTCGCTCATGACTGCGTTTTATGACTGCCATGGAAGCTTCTGCCAGACCACCCCCAGATGCAAGAACATCCTCAAAGCAGTCAATTTGCTCCATGGCTTCTTTTATCCCACCCTTGCCCTTACCCTCCAGTTCTCGGTCTACCGGATACCAACTTTCCCCCACTCCGTACTTTCCAGGGGAAAAGTAGCTATCCAGAGTCCTCCCACCTGGGGCGCATATCTCGGGAAAGTCCTCTTTGCTGATCTCGAAAGCAGCCATGATCCTTCTCAGAATAGCCCATTGGTGCCGGCGCTTCCCAGCCTCCAATTCTGGGGTCCATCTTATGACCCTAGGGCCTCCCGCGCCGCCCGGCAAGCCTAGCGTGGGATTTCCAGTCACTTCCAAGACCTGGAAACTTCCTCCTTCGGTTACCTTCTCTAAGCGTGCCCAATCCCTTAGATGGCTAACAGCTTCGAAAAAGTTCCAATGCCTCTCACTCCATTCCCACATTTGCTGGAACTCAAGGGCATTACCAAATTCCTCCCTTTTCTTCTCTAGTCTTCTGTAGAAATCTGTCACAGCCAAAGATATACTAATCCGAGGATAATATCTAAAGTAATTCCTGACACTCGGAAATTGAGAGCCCTGTCCATTCTCAGAAAACCTGGCAACCAGAACACAAGGGTCCTCGCGAGGGCACTTTTCTGAGTTTTGTACCAAGCCAGCTGCTCCATTCTCCAACACCCCACCTTCCCTCAGAGCGTCGGAAAACACGTCATGTCCCACAAGCAAAGAGCTAGACTCCTCTCCCCACTCTAATCGGCGGGTGAAGTCTTGATGAAAGTCGGCAATCTCTCTTTCCTCAACCGCCACACGAATGGCAGATTCAAGCTTATTCTCGACTCTGTGACGGCGAGCCAGGTCTTCTAGATCCTGGTAGAGGTGTTTCTTAAGGGACTTGTATCTCTTTTCATGTGAGACGCTCAGGAAGTGACCTTTTTCTTCGGGTGGAGCCAGGCTGGATAGGTCACCGTCCGAGGCGCAGCGGAAGGATCTGAGGGGGATTCCTTTCCATACGAAGGGAGGGTTGAGAATTGCCCTTTCGACTGTTGCGGGATCAGGGGGTTGTGAGGATAGTGGCGGAGGGAAAACGGGAGGACTAGCATGCAGGACAGTGGGATTGGCTTGGAACCCATTTCTGGAGGCCATTGAGACGACTTGTGGTGGTTAACGAGCGTACGAAGTGAACGTCTGGAAACGGGCAAGGGGGTGAAGGCAGAGGAGAGGGAGGGGGGGAGGTCAGAAGGATATTTCATCAAACCTGGAGGGATTGGCGGAATGCGTATGATAGGAACTGGGTGAGGGTATGGGTAGGAGTATGACGAAAGCACTCGCGTTTCATACCTGCACTCGAAATCCATATCTAGGCCTATGGAGCCCGGTCAATTCGGGTATCTAAGCATAGGTACTTGTGGTGAGGGCGCACTTGGGATCTGAGCCTTAGATACAGTAATGTTCCCTGTTGGAGTCTTCACATTTCCCTTTATCACACCCCCAGGATCTTTACTGGTAATGAACGGTACTCGAGTACAGCGCCCAGCTCAACCAAATTTCATCTTTTAAATAAAAATTTATTCTATGGGAAGATGTTAGAGCAGCAAATTCCATCATAGCACGGAACAATCATTCGGGCGGAGGGCTGATACAAGACAGGTTTAGGCACCCGCCCGCAACACAGTACTCGTACTCGTACTTAAAGGCCAAGCTTGGCGGTAGTTTATGATATCTGAGCATGCGTTTGAAGGGCCTGTTCCCTACTCGAGTACAATAAGTTCTCACTCGCCAATGTGGAGTCCCCCTATCACTCTGTGCACACCTCTGCCGCGATGGAAAGGTGACCCTTTGTGAACTTGAATTCGCTTTGCTTGTGTATTTCCTATGATATAAAAAGTATGAACACCGATAGCACCGTACGGCACTTTCTACACTCAACCGTTATGCTCTCCCTATTCTTTTACGCCGCCCCCAGCAGCCTGGGTTTAATCTCACTCGCCAATCAAGCCACACATCACTCGATCGATTTGGCCCCATTTCCAGGGAATGGGGTACAGCAAGAAATACAGTTATCATACCGGTATCATATCATATCATGCTGTAGGCGCAGCTGACAGTGTAATGGTCTCGGGGACAAGGGTTTATTCTCCAAACCGAATAAGCTGCTGTCATACCATCCCATCCAGTATCCGGTATGACCGCTTGGTTTAGTGCCGGTACGACAGAAGGTTCGAGTTCAAGTCTTGATAGTGGTAGGTGCTCGAGTACTCTTGAAGCTTATCAGACAACAACCTAATACCTGTGCTGTACTCGTGAAATACTCGTACCGACTTCTCCGCATCTCCATCTTCTTGTGGCGAGCTGGTTTACCGAAAATGGCACAATATCATGTGAATAAAAAAGTCAGAGCCAAAGCCAAAGCCAAAACCAGAGCCAGAGTATCCACCCGCACCCGGAAGTCGAGATATGGGGTGGATATCACCAGCTCTCTTCAAGACAAAGATGAAGTGGTGTAGCTTCCGCCTCCATCACCGAAACCGCAATGCCAAGCAATGCAGCCAAAAAGTCTTGTCCCTATCCTCTTTTCCCTTGTTCCGTTGGGAAAACCTTGATCTTTTCCTCCTTAGTCAGCAATACACGCCTACCCGTTACCCAATTGGCTGCTTGTCTCGTTAACGCACGATAGCAAGGTAAGGCATCCCACCTTAACTTATGTCCCGAACGCGCTTCCCCCATCGCGTCTTCCAACAGAATCCTCAATCTGCCTACAATCCTTCATCCCTCCCCCCCATACACCCATAGCTCTCACCCCTTCTTGTTCCTCCTTGATCCCCCCCTTCCCCGCTTTCACTTTTATTTCATTTTTTTCCTTCTTCTTTCTTCTCCCCCCTTCTACGCCATAATTTTCATCCTCCCTTTTCAACTTCCCACTTTATCTATTGGTCTGTCATATCCAACAGCTAGCACAATTATCTGCCTGCTGTTGCCCTAATTGTCCTCGGGTAATCTTCCAATACCACAACCACCACCTACCTTCTCAGCCCCCTCATCATGCCCCGCCATGTTCAAATCCAGGAGGATCCTTCCGATGACGATATAGCTTCTTCTCCACCTGCTCGTCCCGCGCGCTCCTCGCGCGCCAATCCAAACGTTTCGCCTTTTTCTTCATCGGATAAAGAGAACGCTGCCTCGGCAGCGAAAGTAAGTAGCAGCAATTCCAGGGAGCATAGGACCTCCAATGGTAGATTGTCTGGGATGAGCTCCACCCAGAGGTCGCAACAGTTGCTCGAGGATGAATGTGACAAGGACGCCTACGATCCCAATCAGGACCCCGAGGAGAGGAGGAGAATTAAAAAGGAGTATCGCACCCTTCATAGAACTCTGTTGGGTAGTTTCTCATTCCCTCCTTGTTTTTTTTTTCTCGCTTGTCTGGCTTTTGGTGGCGGTATCGCTACCGTCAACCATTTATCCTTCCACTCATCTACTGACAAGGCGCAGATTCTACGCAGGAATTTTTAGGGCCCGAAAGCGACGGTTTAAAAAAAACTTACTTGCGCGCGGAGGAGCTTTACAAGAATGTCAAGACTACTTCGGATGCGACACTCGACTCGCGCCTCCTCGTTACCGCCACAGACTTAACCTTAAAGAAGGCTACCAACCTCACTTTTGGTGGAGGAGTCGGCGGTATCGACAACGACGAGTTCGTCGGAAAATGCATCACTTTCATGAAGCATCGTGCCCCGGCACACCGTGGCGTCCCTGCTGTAGAGGAGCAAGACGCCGACGAAGACGGAATCAGTTGGGCCCGCCTTGGTCGAGAAGCCGCCTCTAAAGGAAACAAACGCCCTGCCACTACAGATTTCCTTCTTGGGCCACTTTCAGTAACAAAGAGGATACGGGTTGCTAGACAACAACGTCGGGGTTTGAAACGTGGAGAGGGAACACTCGTCAGACCCGTGGAGATAGAGCAGGGAGACGAACAGGCCGAGAACAACGCAAACACTTCCCTCCGACTTGTAAGAAATGTTCATACCGCTCTAGCCGATTATCTCAATGAAAACGAAGATGTTGCCGAGAGCGGTCTAAATCTTTTCCGAGCAGTCGTCAACCCGCACAGCTTTGCACAAACAATTGAAAATATATTTTATGTTAGTTTTCTTGTGAAGGATGGATTCGTTTCAGTTCAGGAAAACGAGGATGACCTCCCAGTTATCTGTATGGCGCCTCACACATCCTCTTTATTAACTATTGATCTAACAATACATCATCCCAGTCCTGGCTGAACCCGCTGAAGCCGAAGAGCGCGAGTCCATGACTATAAAACGTAGTCAGATGATTCTTTCATTAGAAATGCATCAATGGCAAGAGGCGATCAAAGTGTTTGACATTCACGAACCTATTATTCCCTCGCGCCGGGAGCATCGAGAGGACGTTGGTGCTTCGGGATGGTACACTTAGCTTTTTTTTTTTTTTAGGTTGGCAAAGCACTCCCTTTCCCGACTATGACACGAATCTAACGGTTCCCGTTTCAGGTGATACATATTCCAATCTCTCGACCCCGCACGTACAAGGGATAGATTCTTTTTTCTTCGCCCCCTCTACTTTTATTTCCTAGTTGGTTCTCATTTGGGAGTTCATCATGTCGGGGAATGAGTCAAGAGATACTACGCGGAAAAGGTGTTCTATTCTAACTAACTCGATAGAAGGTAGAAACAAGACAACGAAACACATCCTTCATAATCATTCAGGGCTTGGTTTCTGCTTCCTCCTTTCTTTGCCTCACTCCGACTGTCTATCATATTCTCACTTTCCGGCTTTTTTTCTTTCTTTCTTTTCTTCTCTTCTCTTCTCAGCGGCGTAAGGGTTGGGGGGGGCGGAAATAACTGCTTTCATCATTTGGAATTTTTTTTTTTTTTCCTCTTTCTTTCGACATCTTGAACGATTTAAAGCGATAAACGAATCGGTGGCTTTTCCTTTATGTCTTGTTGCATTTGCGGTGGGAGACTGTAGACTAGTGTCATTACCCTGGGGGTCTCCCATGTTTTGTCTGGTGATGTAGATAGTTTTTTTCGCTGTGTCTAGTTTTTTCTTCCATTTTCTCATCTCTCCCTCTATGTACTACTTTAATGAGCATTTAAGAGCTACTTTTTGATTCTTGTGGTAGGGCCACGTGCTCGTACTAGGCAGTAAGTAGCCGGCAACAGAAATTCGGAAAATATATGGCAAAAAATCCATGCGCATCCCAGCGCCCATACAAGTTCACGACCCCTATTCTGGGCACTTTTTACCTAGGACAAGTAGTGTTTGGGCATACATTGGCAACGGTACTGATTACCAGTGTTTGCGAGATCCGCCTCAGGTTTGCTATTGCAAGGCCTTTCGAGGGTATGATAGTTTATGAATGGCTTGTAGTGGGGTGAGGGTTTGTATGATAATATATGGTAGCTTCATAGCTGTCAAGTTTGTATGCTATGTATCGTAACTTAGTTTTCCGGCGTAGGCATGCGATAGACAGACATACACTACTGTATTTGTGCTCGAGTACAGTGAACCGCACCCCGAGGCTCTAAAGATGACAACTGCATGTACTCGAGCAAAGCATAATACCGTACCCCAACCTGTACCCAGCCCATCCGCATCCCCTCACCTCGAGTATGATAACTTGTGAGTATGATAACGAGTGATACCAAATGAACCCCCCCTTCAAACCTGGCCCGTCATTCCTAAAAATCTTGGCATCACTGTGGTCCGTGTGGGTCGCGACTCACCAACTCAGCCCAACTCTTTGTTTATGCCTTCACCCATCACCCTTTATTCCTCCCAGGCAGAACAAACCACAAACCCAACAACTATAGTACCGCCACAACTGCCAAGGGCACAAAAGGGGTGGAAATAAAAATGTCAAAAAAACGCAAATCAACAACAACAACCGCCAATGCACTCCCAGATACTCTACCAATAGCTTACACCCCACCAGTCCGTCGCCTCCTGTCTCGATTATCGAAAAGCTCCCTAGTGGAATTATCCCTGGGGTGGCTGGGGAGTACGAAGGTGAACCTAACACGTGTTGAGGATGATGAGGGGGGCGAGGACGAGGACGAGGAAGGGGAGGAGATGGACATTGAAGTTGTGAGGGGGATATATGAAGGGTTCAGTAGGAGCAAGAGCGTACGGGTGAAAGAGGTTGTTGAGAGGATCGTGGAACACGAATGGAGGGATGGCTTGACTTTAGGGATGGTAGCTGAGTTGGATTTCCGCTGTTTGTTGCCCTTCTCCCCCCCTCCGGGTTCTCCTTCGTCAGGGAAAACATAACTGACGGGGAGGAAATAGATCTTCTAGACCACCCAAGTAGTCAAAAATGGACATCCGCGCAACTCTACCCCCTCTCCAAACCTCCCCCTACCCGCGCCACTTCCAAAACGATCTTCCATCCAAAAACCTTCGCCCACACACTCTCAACCCTCCTCCGTCCGCTTGTCTCCCCACATTACTACATAACCCACCACCCCAGCCTACCCTTACATATGCTCCACGTGCAACTCCACCCACCAACCCCCACTACCCCACTAACCCTCCCGCAGAACAAGCACATATTCTGGCTCGCTTTTCCCGAATCCACAGACGGTTACGTCTTCCACACCCTCCCTTCTTCCTCCCCCGCCACCACCGCCACCACCTCACTCCCAGAAATAGTTCGTGAAAGCATCGCAATAGCTGTCTCGAGGCGCGGTATCCGCTATGGCATCCGTGCTGCAAGAATGAGCGCGAGGACTCTAGAAGCAGTAGCCTATCACCGCGGTGGCGAGGGCGACGGTGGCATGCTGGGCGGGTGGAGCATTTTCTCAGCCGGGGGCGCGGGCGTCAACGACGACGTTCTCGACCTCCTCCCTGCTCGCACTCCCCCGCTACTGCAGAAGCAACGGGAGAAGGAGGAGGAAGCTGGCGACGAACAAGCCAGAAAACGCCAAAAAATAGCAGAAGCCAGATTCGGCACTAGCGCAAAGGAGGGTGACGGCACGGGGTTGGAAAACGTGGTTTTTGCGCTCGCGGAGGAGTTCCCTCCCTCGCCTGCTCTTCCGCAGGAAGAGCACCGGGAAGGAGAGATGAGGGAGGGGGGGGAAGAGTTCAGACCGAAAATCACGGTAAGGCTGGAAGGGTCGCATGTATTTGCCGGTGTGCGCAGCTTGGTTGAGCAGGGCGTTGGCTTCGATGGGGCAAAGTTGCCCGGCTGGCTGACGGGTGAGGCCGGGGTCACTGTTGGGAGGGTTAGGGGGGGAAAGGTTAAGGGGTGGATTGGGGGGATGTAGCTTTAATTAATGTGTATTGTGGAGTGGTATTGTTTTGTCCGCATGATACTCGAGCATGGCGTTGGGAGGAAGAATTATTCGTTGTTTACGAGGCGTCATTCGTGGTTAATTCTGGTGGGCAGTAGAAGGAGTGAGCAAGTGATTGTGTATGAGAGCACAATATGTGGGGGTAGCCTACGGTGATTGTATGTTCGGAGATAGCTTAGTGGCCATCTTCGTCTCCATATCTTTCAAAATACCTATCGAGGATGATACTAGTGCTTTAGGTACTGTGGTGTGCGATCCTGGCGACAAAAGAAATCTACACCCACCGGGTTTTCCATGTAAGTGGCCCCCATTTTCAACAGGTGGCTACTCACCTCCATGGCCTTAGAAGAGCGATCTAGTGATTTCTTAGATACAAAAATTTGACATGGGGATTTGCATAATTGAAGACCACGTTACAGAAACCACCCTAAAATTTCCAAGCATTAGAATTTTTGGAGGACGAGCCCAAAAAAACCGCCGAGAAGGGCAATTTGTATGGGAATTCCACATGGCAGCCATGCCGGTTAGCTTTATTTACTTATCAAACCGGTATTTATTTACTTATCATACAGGTACTGAATACTGCTAGTGTTTAGTGAAACAAAAAATAATCGGAATCCTACATCAAACCCCCCGCGATTCTCTCCCATCTGATTACCGGTAAGTACTCGAGTACTGCTCGGGGAAAATCCGCTGTGCGCCTTCGCGTCGGCCGACTAAACTTGTGCACTTTGTACGGAAACCCAAGGGGGGTGTCGATCTCTTCCGCCGCCGTTCGTATGATACTTTAAGTAAATTTCGGTCACGTAAAATCACTCTCCTCCCCCCACCATTCCCATGGATCCATTCCCAACCCGTGAATACCACGTTATCTTACACTTCATACCACCATCATCACGTCGTAAACCTCGCATCAATGAACGAAAAGGGGCGAAAAAGGCAGTCCCCCCACCCCCCTCCCTCCATTGCACAACCGACTCATCCACCTATCCATCAATCCCACACAACCCTTTATATCGTGTTTTTGTCCCCCACCACACTCCAAAAACCTCCATCTATTCCAATTGGAAGAAAGGGAGAAAGAAAAGAAGACTACGTCAACCAGCAGCAACCAGCAACCGATCAACAATCACCTGGAAGCAAATCTTCAACAATGGACCCAGTGAGTAGTTCCCCTCTCTCCTTTCCTCTCGAACACCCCACCCAAAAGAGTATATCCCGGAAGAAGGAAAGAAAAGAAAAAACTAACAGTCCTACTATAGTTAACTATGGGGTGGATCATCAGCGGTCTCATCTCGTTGGCAGTTGAAACGTATCTGTGGCAAGATTGGAAGACTACGCTTAGGACAAGAGAGGGATTGGCGGATCATTAATGTGCTTTGCGAGGAGAAAAGAGGAAAAAGGTGGAAGGGATAAATATGGGGATAAGGTTCACGAAATCCCTGGATAGATATAGAGGGAGAGATAGAGAGAGGATTGGAAGAGATGGGGGAAGGAATGTCGTGGGAAATTCCTGTCTCGTAAAGCGTAAACCCAGCAGAGGACTTTTTGCGGTCTATCCTCCGTATTTCCAACTCCAAGTATTGTAATCTCCCCCAGAGAGAGGGGAAGGGGGAGTGTCCTAAACACCACTACCACTCCCGAAACCTCGACTTCCTATCATCCTGCCTCCCGTGCTTCTCCATCATCATCCTGGAATGTAACTCCTCTGTCGACGGCAGCGGCTTCGTGAAGTCGTAAATCTGCGTTTCGGTGATGCTCTTAACCTCCACGTCCCTGAGCGTAGCAATCACCTCGAATAGGTCTTGCGGTTTCACTTGGTCGGACAGGTAGGATCCCTCCTTCGAGCACCTCACGGTTACTAATTCCAGGCCGGCTAGGGACGGGAAGAAGCCGGCAGATGTGGAAAGGTAGTCGGAGACCAATTCCTGGGGTTTTTCCTCGACAAAGGTGGCCCAGAGGACGAGGGTTCTAAGGTTTGGTAGGACGAGGGGGGAAACGTCGCCGTTCGCGCCGGTAGTGGAGGTCGAAGTGATGGAGGAAGAGGAGGAGGGGGAAAGGCATGGAGTCGAGGTTGAAGAGCTGCTACAGGAGTGCGAACGCTTACTCCCTGCGAATATAATACCCATGCTAATCCTCCCTCTGTAAAAATCCAGGTACCTCAGCAGCGGAGACGCCTTTAACAACGCCCTGAGCTCCCGGCATGCCACATCCTCAACCCCCACCAGCCCGTCCACGGCAAAATAGCTCTCCGGCACGGAAATCGTCAAGTTCACAAGATTAGTAGTCCACCCCCGCGCTTCGTACCCACACCCCAAATCACTCCACCAATCTGTCCTGGTCAACCTCTTCAGCTTGGGGCAGTGCTTGAACAGACAACGCATGAGTGAGCGCGATGCAGATAGTTGCGAAGAGTATGCTTCTCCAGACAAGTCGTAGCACTCGACGGATTCAAGGGAGGTTAGATTCGGGATCAAGCCTAGTAGTGCCGTGCGCGCTGTTAAGACTGGAGGCTCATCCTTGAGGAGTGGGTGGCCCCAGTTGAATTCTTGTATTTCATCTTGGAAGGGGTCGCGTTTTAGTGGGGCGATGTCGATGCGTAGACGGCGGACGAGGGAGGAGAGATACTGCGAGCTATTTTTTTTTTAGTGGGGTAAATGTCAGTGGCTTCTTGTTTCACCTGTTTGTGTGGATGGATGGGTGTGGGTGAATTGGAAATTAGACTCGGTCTTGGGGGTGAAGAAAAGACGACCGAGCGATAAGAGAGGGGGAGGGAAGGAGGGGCTTATGTCAGGTACGATATTCGAGTACAGTGTGACGAAACGGCAGGGGTGGTATCATAGGGGGTAGTGTCAAGGGCTATCCTCGGGAGATGAGAGGGAAAAGGAGTTGAGAAGAGGGGGAAGGGGGGGGGAAGGTGACGCAAAGAAATGAGCGACCTCATGACGGCATTCCTATCGTCACCTTTCTTTTCTTTTCCTGTTTTTATAAAAACCTTCCGGCTCCACCCCCCTCCTTTTTCCCCGCATTCCTCATTACCATACTCTGCCACCACCAACCACGCAAACCTCCTCTCCCCCGCAAAAGAAACACTACCCCATACCCTTCTAAAATAAGATAAAAATAAAGAATAAAAAGAAACCCGCAAGAAACCCACCTACCTCTTCAACACCCTCAACTGACTCTCTCGATACGCATACGGATCGAACGTAAGCTCGCGATACAATAGCGGCGTACTAACCCTACAGCAATCGATGGAGACCCTAGCCACGCGCGCCAGGTCCGCAACCTCCAAGTATACCAGTATCTGCTCAAGGATCTCGTTTGGTACGCCATTAATGGTCAGTTTCGTCCCTTGGCATTCGTTATCGTCGGGGTGGATGCGGTCGGCTTCGGCTTCGGAGTCTCGAGGGGTGGTTTGTCCCGCGTTCATGGATGCGTTGGTTGGGTTATTGGGGTTCCCATTCGGTGGGCTTGGGGGGTGCGGTTGTTTGTGGACGGACAAGGCTGGGTGGAGTGAGGAAGGAAGGGGAAGGTTTGTGAAGCGAAAGGGTAACTTAACTTAACCCTTTGCTGTTATGGATGAAGAAACGGAAGAAGTACGGCACAGGTGGTAGGCAGGTAGGTGGGAGAAACAGTAGAGTAAGGAAGAAGGAAAGGTGGAAGTTGGGGGGTGTAGGGGGATGGAAGTGAAAGAGAGAAAAGGGTCCTCTCTCTATACTGCCTTGTAGTTATCGTAATCATCAACTTCCCCATCCCCCTCCCCACCCCTTTATCTGATCGTTTAAGTTATCATAACATGGTAATTATTGACATGCGTCTCTCTGGGTGTGTTTTCTCTCTCTTTTCTTTTTCTTCTCTCTGGTAGCAATGTCGATAGGGTCATGATCGTCTGATACGTCTCAACTCCCGTTACACCTCTTTCCCCTCCCGCCCTTGCTTTTCCTCCATCCTTCAAAAATTATAGGGAGTAACTTAGTCTACGGGCACCGCCCAATGAACGAGAGCCCCTAGAGTAAAGTGGGAATCAGGATGAAACATGGAAAAGCGTTACTTTCATCACAAAAGGATTAAAAGCTAAAATCGACGAGCAATCGCCGCGCGCGGGTGATGTGGCAAACCCCTCGGGATCAACACAAAATACTCGAGTACCGTACCCTCCCACGGACAGTAGAAAAAACAAAAATAAAATAATTTGGAGTAAAATGGAAAACGCACCATGGGACTTCCCGCCGCATTCCATTCCATTCCATATATTATCCCTTTCCCATTTTCCGTTTCCGGCGAATCACATTTTGCAGATAACAGATAAATAGATAGGTGCCGGTACGGGTACAATACAGTAACGGCAGATATGATATCAACAAGGTAAGGGGATGCTGGCAGGCAGGCTACTCGAGTGCTGGTATTGCCGCTGCCGTGCTGTACTGTACCGAGTGCAGTAAAAAAGAGTTTTCGAAAAGAGGAGCGGGGGAGGGTGGAGGGATTTGGGGAGGTCGCGATGAGATGGGGATGGAATGAATGGATGGATGGAGGGGAAGGAAGGTTTGAGTCCCTGACGGGATTAAATTTATTTTTCACAGCGTGGAGGAATCAATACCTTGAATGTGGCACCGGTAGCGGCAACGGTTAGCGGAGCGATACTTGCAAATACTGTACAGTTACAAGTACGAGTAAATTGGGTTAGCGATACAGTATCGGTGCTGTCCACTAGCCAAGAGCAACAGGGTACGGTAGCCCCTTCCTGCGACCAAGCGATTTATCATGTCTGTACGAGTACTCGTACTGGTATGATACTCTACAGTAGAGTACGCGAGGAGTAGTACCGTAGGATAACACTGATTTGATTACTGTACAATTTTGGGTTTCTCAAAAAAAAACCCAATCTTCCCGTAACCCCCCCCTTCATTCTCCCGTTGCGGAAGGAAAGCTGGATGGCACACATGAGAAGGAAGGAAAGCAAGTAAGCGTTTAGGAAGGAAATAAAAGGAAAAAAGGGAAAGAAAAAAACGCAACTTATACCATGGACCATAGAGAATATAAAAGTGGTCGGATCATGACATTGTCCCCGAATATAATTTGTTTCTTTTTACCATTTCTTCCATGCTCTCTTCCAATATCAGCCATGTTCGGGTGGTCTTTCGTCAATGCGGTATGCCTAGTGAAGATAAAACCCCTCGTCAGGTGAAGGAGTTTTTTCCCCCTCTCTTCATTTCATTCTCCCTGTCCTAGACAAGAAAAAAGAGAAGAAAAATACAGAAGGTTAGAAAGAGAGAAGAGAGAAAAAGTGTTGGAAGAATGTACAAAAAAAACCCTTTGAAAAGAACCCCCTGATACAAGAAACGGTTTTTATCATACAGTGTTGGCTTTTCCTTCCTGCCCGTTTCATTTTTCCCATCTCTACATTTGATTTCCTAGTTCGTTCCATTCCTCCAGACCCAGCCCATCCCAGAAATCGGGTCCTCCGGACATTTGGTTTCCTCCTGAGGTGAACAAGAAGCTAATTTTTTTTTAAAAAAAAAAGAAAAGAAAAGAAAAGAAAAAAGAGAGAGAGAGAGAGGGGGAGATGGTAGAAGAGAAGCAATCACTAAAATCAGATACGCCGAGGTTAGGTGTGAAAAAAAGAAATGGGAAAAAAAAGGGGGAAAGCTCAAAAATAGCAGGGCAATAAGCGGGGAATCCGTATGCAAACAAAGACCAGAGAAAGGGAACTGAATTGAGAATAGGTATTGATCGAAGTAAAATGATTCGGAACTCCCCCTACACTATCCGTCGCCCATCCCATCTATTTTTCGTCATCTGGTTCGCCTCCTCCATCCCTGGTGATCTCCCCTCCACCGCCACCACCGTCACTGCCTCCTGTACTTGTCTTGACGGCCAGGTTGATAGCTATCTTTTTAGTAGGTGGACTACCACCAGGTCCAGAACTGCGCTTCTTGGTCAGGGCATTTGCACTCCCACTACCAGTAGGGCTGCGGCGTTTGTTTCGTAATTTTCCGAGCTCATCATCATCCTCCTCCTCGCGCCTTCGTTTCTCCGATAACCTTTCGGGCATGGGAGCTCCAGATAGCACGTCATTATCAGGCCTTTGCGAAGTAGAAGTAGTAGGGGAAGTAGTCGGACTAGCTGAACTGGCCCCTTCGGGTGCTGACTTGGCCTCCGTAGTAGCCCTCCTCTCCTCCTCGGGTTTGCTCTCATCAGCAGTATCCATTGGGTCGTCGTCTGCGTAGTCAACCAGTGGCTTGGGTACCGGGGATCCGCTGCCATTAGCACCCTTAATAGGACTGTCCTTGGGTGCCGGAGCGTTATCCTCTTCATCGGAAGTATTGAAATACTCTTCCTCGGCAGCGTCCATATCCTTGACACCCTGCCACCTTCTGGCACCATTGACGTGATTCCTAGTTGATTGTCAACACTCTCTTCCTAAGCAAGATTTCTCGGGCCCAATTGGCCCGGTGTGCCTTGCTTCTGGCTTGGGAACTTGGGGGTGTATACCTAATGGACTTGTCTTCCTGAACATATGATGAAGGCATGGTTGTATCTTGCAACTGTTCGCATCTTAATATTAACATGTTGAAAGTATCAACATAGGTTATCTCCTTCATTTCATCACGATAGTTCTCGCCCAAGTGGACAATTATCTGTTTAATGTTCTCCTATAGCAGATTTGTTAGTTTCTGCATTGAAATCCATGGAATAGAATGACCTCATACCCTCTTGATGAACTCGAAAAATTCGAGACAGGCAGAATTTAGCAGGTTGTCCCTCGGCATAGTGTCAATAACGATGCCCAGTATCGGTCCGAACAGCTTCCATTTGATCATATGCCGGATATAAAACTCATCCTGTAAACCAACGCACGTTCGGAAGAACTTCAACGCCGATAGTTTCAGATGTTTCTCGGGTGATTGGAGCAGCTGTGCAACCCTCGAGGGGAGATTCTCTGCCAGAAAGAAGTACTTTCCTCGGAATGCGTGCTGCCGGACAAAGAAACATAGCGTATCCACGAGGTGGGAGAATAGCGATACTTCCGCTATTGACAAGCCTTTTACTACAACAAAATTTCAGTCAACTAAATTCGACAATCGCTGAGTATCAAAAGGTAACGTACATGATTTTCTGGTATCGAGCTCTGACAAGGGGAGGAATAGCTTCTTCGCGGAGTCGTCGTAAAAGGTCTTTAAAAAATTCTCAGTTTCACGGTCCGCACTATGATTTCGAGGATGCAACCGCGAGGTTATGTCACTAGCCTTTCCAAGTCCCTCGATCTGCAACCCTGTAGAGGGATCTAGCAGAATTCTGATAGCATCTGCGATTTGTGCTTTTACCCCCAGATCCTGCTCCCCCAATAGCAATTCAATCAAGGTGTCCGTCAATGGCTTTTGCTTGTCGCTAATTTGCCGAAAGATGAACGCTCGCATCATTGCTGGGTCGTGATCGATCATGGCCACCAAAACGTCCGTACCTGCAATGCGGACAGAAGCATCATCGTGGAGCAGCGCGAAATCTATGACAGCAAAGAGTCCGTTTTGGATAAAGTGGTTGTAGAGCTGGGTTCTTACAGGTCCTTGGAGGTTCTTTGCAATTGAGCAACATTGTTGGATGAACAAAACACCGTTCTTTTTCTGGGTTGGATCCGACTCTGCAGAGTGGAAGATTGAAAAGAGCTCCTTCAAGAACGCCTGGTTGCTCTGGAGGTGCTGTAAAATATCCACTTGGTTGAAAAAGATAAGAGAGTTAAGCACCGAGAAGGTAGGGTCGTCAAGAATCCTAGCAAGAACAACATCTTTCAAGTATTGTAATCGGTAAGTCCAATGGATCTTCTTCTTGATCTCTGGGTCCTTGATCGGCACTACCTCCTTGAACTTGGACGTATCAGACAAAAATTGCCGGTGGTTAGCCTTGTGGCTTGGGAAATCAGGATCGTCTGTGGCAAGGGTGGTTAGCATCAGGGAAGATGTTACACAGCAGATCACAGATACGCACATTCCAAGATCCCTACAACACCAAATATGACCTCGTCCGTGACAATATGCTCGATGATCAAGGTATCATTCAGTAAAATTATCATCTTCATAATGTTGCACAGCCTATGCAGATTCACCAGACTCTCCAAATCTTCAGCCACACCCAGCAGCGGAATGAGCTTTCGAATAAAATCTTCACTTAGGACGAATTTCCCTAGGGAATCTCTGGCCTGGGCGGTTGAGCTCGCCGATCGGATCGTAGCCTCGATCTCAGTAAGATTCCCCAGCTCGGGGGAAGGTAGCATCACTGAACCAATGAGGGTTTCGTTCGCATCGTCTGAGAGTATTTCATCTGTATCTATCAGCATACATGTGAATATTTATTTTTGAGGTGATAGAGCATAGATCCTTAAAAGAGCTTCTCCCACACAATAGCCCAAACAAAGAGCAAATAGAGTAAAAGTAGGTAGACAAAGTACATACCTGCGCCAGATACCGACAGAAGATGACTCTGAACATGGCTCACAAACTCCCTGTTGCAGGATACGGTAAGCGAAAAGCGCAGCGAGACAAGCGCGGGGAACAAACATACCATATTGCAGCACAACCTTCTGGCTCTTGAAAGCTCAAAGCCATATCTGTACCATGTGGCTCTGTCCATACAATTAAGGTTTCTAGCTAGATGTCAGCAACCAGTGCGAAGGACAAGAAAAACTTGTGCTAATGTATCAAAACACCCTGTAAATGGCATGGGAAAACAAGCGGTAGGCTGAACATACCCTGCTGCTTTTGATATCCATCATCTTTTATTATCTTTGTTTCCAACAGCATACGATCCTGCTCCTCTTCCGATTTCACTTGTATATGTGGTTCGTCCTGCACGCCACGGATATCAGCCACCCCATTGCCTATAAGACTACCATAATGCAGGGACCACCAAATAACGGAGGTAGAAAAAAAAAAAAAAAAAAAACAAAGCAAGTCCCTGCCACGATAACTCGTCACGCCTATAAGTAGACAATCCTTACATTAACTAACTGTCCCGTGCAATATCCAGTTCCCCGATCAAACCAATCATTATTCCGCAACTCATACACCTTTACTCGTCGCGGTGTCGTGGGTGGATTAGACACAGAAAGGGCCATGTTGATTAGGATGGCGGAGTCCGGTAATCGGACGACGAGGAAGCGCGGCAACGAAAGGGTATCGTAGCCTTTTCTCCTCGTCGCCTAATAATCGTCTGAAACTCCTTTTGTTTAGGGGAAGTGCCGATACAAAGGTTCGGCAGCTATTGTGGAAGTGATGGAGTTGACGTGTAAGAGGGGTTGCTTGAAGTGAGGGTGGGCGTCAGTTGGCGCGATGAGGCTCGATCCTGCAAAGCCAATGTATGTATGGGAGGCGAATTTGAAGATTATTCCTGGTGAGGCAAACTACGCGCGTTTAGAACACTGTAACAAGAAGGTGAGAGACCACAGTATGAGCTTAAAATAGCGCCAACGTGTGATGAGTGAGCGGTGATGAGAAGATAGATGCTGCTGATGCTAATGGTGACGATGATGATGATGGGGGAAGATGTGTGTATATTCCCGGGAGGAGTGTGTATGAGAACAATGCGGTACGGTAGTAGGAAAGGATTGTTAGCTAGTGGCGACGACAGCCGCAACCCTTTCCAAGATGCTAGCAGACCCCCTTCCCAGATGAGGAAGAGGAAAAAATGAAAGAATGAAAGAATGAAAAACAGGACCAAGGTGTCGCTAAAAATTTTCTCCGGTCGGGCCCAAGAACTATGGAAAAAAAAAAAAAAGGATGTGACCGCCGGCGGGAGATAAGGGGTGACAGATTGGTGAGGAGTTTGGTGAAGTCGAGTCTCCCGAAAATTTCACCCCTTCTACCGTGTGCTTGACACAAACAACGCGAACGCGGAAACGGACGGTTGATATTTAATGCGGCGCCCGGGTTGGGGTATGGGTTATTAGACTAGGGTTGAAGTTGGGGTTGAGGTGGAATGGTGGAGGGAGAGACGGATTCTCGGTTGAGGGAACACGGGTCAGGTCCAGATAACCCGGCGGAAGCACCAAGCAAGTAGCACACGAGCACCAGGGCCGAGAAGGCAGCGGCGGCGGAGCAGAAGGAAAAGATGAGTGAGGCAGCAAGAGGATAGCGGTGCGGCAGGCATACCCAGCTCCCCCACGAAAGAAAGGGAGAATATGGCACCGTAGCGCCGACGACAGAGAAGGGAAACGTTGAACTACAACCCAAAGGGTGGGGAAAGAAAAGGAAGGAAGGGAGAGCGAAAGCTAGTGCAGGGGCCCAAGGGTTGATCGGGCTGAGAGACAACAGCTATAAAAGCGATCCCCCAGTCTCAACCCAATGTCTCCCATTCTATGTTGGCTACGGTAGTAACTGAGGTCTGCCGGTGCGTCGACGAACGTTAGGGAGTGGCTCGTTGATCTCCTGACATACAAGGTATGGCACTTTGAAAGTGCTGTAGAAGTGCTGTAGATAGATGGCTGTGGCGGTGTTGAGTTTAGCTTTGCCAAACACCTTTCCTCAGCCCGGCAGGCGAACGAGAGGGAAAAAGGAAAAAGGAAGCCCTTCTCACAGCTACAGCTAACTACCGCGATATTGGTATCGGTGGGGTGTCGAGTACTGTACAGTACTGTACTACCGGTATCATACAGTACCACATCAACCTAAAGTTAGACTACAGCTTTACCGGCAGCCATACAAACGCAAACCGCAACTACATATTTAGAAAGGCTATATAACCTTTATATGGTATGATATTGAGAAATATTAATACCAAAATAAGGATTCTAATCAGGCTCCTACTAGCAAGTTAATTCAATGCGGCTGCATTCCTACGATATGATGGCATTGAGCATTATCGAGCATGGAACAGCAAACGCGGAAAACGGCTTCGATCGGGTTAGGGGGCCAAGAGCGCAGGGGTAGAATCACTGGAGGTACAAATACCGATAGACAGCTTCTTCTGCCTGACGAAGAGACGTGCATGGAACAGGTTTTTACACTTTCCTTTTTTTTCCACTCCTCTCCTGTTCCTTCCATATCCCACCACTTTTAGTGATGATGGAGGGATATGTTACCGGCAGTCAACCAGTGAACACCACCATACCTGTATCCCATCCACTTAAAATCCGTGCATCACCAAAGCTTAAGGGGGAGGGATGACCCTGTAAAGGTTCCTACTGTATTCTCGGGGCTGCAGCTACCAGAAACGGCCCGCACCAAAGGCTGCATGTCTCGTTATGCGCCTTCAGTACTCGTAGTCCTTGTTGCTTATTTTTCCGAACCTGTCAACAACAACCACAGCAAACCGAAAAAACTCTTTTCCAACTCCAACTACAGCAGAGCCTCCAGGCCCAACCCTTCTTTCCTGATATGGTGGGTGGATACATCATACCGGTGGGTTACTTAAAATACCCCTAATAATTGGTTGTCCCCATTTCGGTCCAAGAGCCTCAGTTCGCAATAAAATAAAAATCCAACATAATAATATTATGCATTCGGCTCACTTCAGCACGGCATAACCCAAAGTACGATACTGTACAAGTATAGTACTCGTACTTGCAGCATCTTAAATCCTTGGATGGAAACGACGTGCTACAATTGAGAGCTAAAAGTTTCAGCCTTGCCCACATAGGATGCTACAGTGGCTCGCCAGGACACGCGACCAACACGCGAACCCAAAAATTTAAAATATAGACTATCCTGGGACTGACGTTGCTCTTGTTGTTGTTGTTGTTATCATACTGTTGTTCAAAACCCCAACAGCCCTACACTCAAACCTAAACACCTTGGATGGCAACGAGTGGTGCTCACAGCGAGGCCGAAACATTCTCTATCATGATATTGTTATCATACCAGTAGACATTTCTCCAATTCCATCGGATTCCTTGCCAAGAGTTCTCTGCGTATGGGTGTGGTGTATTATTATCAGCAAGGCATCACGATGCAGTCAATAGCTTTGTCAGGCTTATATCGAGGTCCGACCCATTGTGCCGGTACTGTATTTGTACGAGTACAGTACCGTACCGCATCCATCCTGTTGGAGGTGCCGTGTTCCGATGTGGTCCTTACCGCGCCCCGTAAAGCTACCTTCCCCACAATCGCGGGTTCAGGAGAAGTTTCGTTACAGCCCTGTCGCGATCATAGCATTCGCGTATCCGACCTGGTTGGCGTAGATCCTGTGACGGAGGGACGAGGTACCGTAGTGTACTAGTACAGTACGAGTAGCGAGATTGAGTGTCTATGAAACACCCCATGCCGGGAAGAACCGAGTGCAAAGTGCCGGATCTAAATTGTCGGTACTCGTACTGTTTGTTGGGTGTGTAGGGTGGTTGGAGGTTTCATGTTGTCTGACAGCTTGCTTGACGTTTGGCGTTTGATAAGTTCTCTGAGATACAGTGCTCCAGTATATGGGATCTCAGCTGGAAGATATACGAGTAAAGATGGGTATTGGATCCTGCAGTTCAGTGACGTAAGTTAGATTAAATTTAGATGCTGTTCAGCCAGTCAGGGCGGAGTTTTCATGCTTCTCGAACTTTCTAAAGCGTAAATCACAAGGCTAATCTCGTAAAAATAAAATAAAATAAAATAAGATAAGATAGAGAAGCTGTGTAGTTAAATACTTGCTGCATCGTCCACTGTACCCCTATGCCCCGTATCCCAAATTGACATTTGGCGCGACTCATAGGCTTGCAACTCTTATGTGTATGTATGCACATTCTCTGATTTTGTCCTGTGACCACTTACAGGGAGGTACTGTATCATTTTCCATCACTCGCTTAGGAGTTTGCGCTCCAGCCTCGTGAGCTTCAACCTTCTGGAGCACATCATGCCCGAGAAGGATCTGGCATTCCCACACAGCCCACACCAACGACCGCACTGGCATTCGGTACTCGCAAGGCGATCACTAGGGCTCACAATTTGAACCCTAGTAGCACTTGGCACAATTCGCAACAACGCCCTCAAGGGATTGACTGGAGCAGCTTCTTCCATTGCATTGGAGCACACGTCACTCAATTACTCGAGCACTTGTACGGGGAGTTATTAACACACGTGAGGGATGCGGGTGGACCCCACCCGCATCCATGGCACCGGGAGGTGAATCTCGTGCTCGTATACGCCTGAGCGTGGCGGGTCTAAAATACATCAGCCTGAAGTAATAGTTCAGGGCCTGGTCCTCGCCGCCTGCCGGGAGCCCCCTTGGACGATGGGAGGCGAGCCGCCAATATAGTTTGCACGGTTTCGAGGGAGAAACGTATTTCACTATCAGTGCCCCAGGCGGAATTTTAAACTAGCTATGGAGTGGCTATCCAGGAACGTAGCATCCAGGAAGATGGGGGAGAAGAAAAAAATCAAAACAAGGGTGGGTGTTTCCGGCTTCTCACCCCCTGGACCGGCAAGATATTGAGAATCTCGTGCCGCCCCTGTCAACCTTTGAGACAGGGAGGTTAATGAGGAGCTTGGCTCCAGTGGGTTGATCCACTTCTTTTTTTTTTTTGTCGGGAGCTTCAGAGACAAAAGTTAGACTACCACCAGCCTTATAGCTCCCCACACAAGAGGCGTCCGAACAGATAATAGCAGTGATTAGCTCCTTTGACCCAGAATTTCATTGGCTGTAGGGTGAATGATATCATCTCGGCAGGGACGAGCCACCTCCCCTTTGGTTGACCGAGGATTTTCGACGAGAGGAGTGGTTTAATGGCGGGGCCAAAATGCTATAATAACCAAAATTTCGCGCATGTGTAGACTCTAGACTATAACTAATATTAGTTATATGGCTACACCTATGATACCGGTACTTGTCTTGGGCTATAGGGATTAAAGATATTCTGGTATATGGCAAAACATCTGGGCGTGTCTGGGCGTCCGTATGGAATATCCCCTTCCCTTGTTTTCGGGTACCTACCGGCATGGCCAGGGGGTAGGTGTCAGTACGCCCGTAGTCACTGAGGAATACAAGCATCATACCGAGGTGGAGAGTCAGTGTCTCGAACACTGACGAGGGGCACGAAATTGTTGTGGATTGCGACGTCGAAAGGCAGCTGCGAGTTCTTAGTCTATTGAGATTATAGGGGGATAGGGTTTCCTCATCAGAGCAAGCAGAGAAGTGAGCAAGGTATAAAGGTCTTTTTTTACTCATTTTATTACAATTCATTACACTCTACGCTCTGGACTCTTCTTTGATACTTGGTTGGGATTGAGACTTCCGTTATAATACTCCCCCTATCAAGCGCCTCTTTAGATAAGCTTCGTTTCTCATTGGCCCCGAGCGATAGTAATTGTGAGAACCTAGCCAACCAAAATCCGTCCCACCATAAGAACGTCTGCGATTCATTCCGAACGACTGGGGGAAAGAGAGGCACTGATCTAGGGGGTGGCTCAAGATGTGGTGGATGTACTCGAGTACCGGTACGAGTACTTGAGCATCGAGGACCAAAAATGATGCAACTATGATACCGATATGTCATTGTACTAGTATCATATGAGTACATACTCCCCCTAATTGACTCCAACCCCCACACCCTTCAGCCCTTCAATTCTGCAATAGGTGATCGACAATGCTACTAGTTACGCACCGCGAGCG